CAACATCTTTACCGAATTCGACCAGTATTGGACCATTGCGAGATGTTTCCCCTCCAGTCAGTTCTTTACTCTTCTGCATGATTTAAAAGCTGTGACTGCATTATTCTTTTCAATTTTCAGATCATAGGGACGTCTGGCTACATGGAATACCATGGATCTGATGAGGAAGAGATGGTTAGTTCAATATTGACGACCTTCGAATGTGCTTTTTCTGACAGAAAAGTTTGAGGTTGTCGCCGACGAAGATGATGGAGAGTTAGTCACTTATTTTGTTGAAGATGCGGAAAATCCGGGAAATCTTCTGGAGGTGGTCCATTCGGAGCGAGGTCGTGTGTGTAAATATAGAAGATACAAAATCGTGCTGAAGTAATAAAATTGCAGCAGTAGAATGTGAATCTCCGCCCGCGTCATCAAAAGTAGCACCCTTACTCATGGAGCCACAGCCAACAGGAAACCTTAGTTTCGACGAGACGATGTGTGATATCAAGAGGAGGATAAATGTCAGTTTTTGTCGAAGAGCAGTGTCGATCGCAGAACATTTTTACAAGGGTATGCGAGGGAAAATAAACCAAGACATGATATAGGCTTGGTCATGTCACGTCCTTTTTCGACGGGTTGAAAAAATTTCTATGAATTGATGAATTTAGTATTCAGAATAGTTTGGATAATCAGCAAATGATTGCAAGTCGTTACTTTTAGATCCTGCAGGAACAAAAAAGGCAAACACGTAATGCAGAGAGATTAAGCATGCTTGTTACACAAATACGTGATTTACAAGGACAACTTGTACGTAATGTACCGCAGACAAATGGATTTATACAAGCAACAGAACAAGAGTTTGATGGAGAGGAAGACGATGAAGAAGTTCGATACGAGCGTAAGTTTCGAGATATCATTTGATTTTTTTAGATGTACAAAACAGATCTCATATTTAGGAATAGAAGGTGATGATGCGGTCTGCCTCGAGATTGAAGTGGAGAGCACTGAAGCGCCTAGTAAACCAGGAACATCGGGACTAGCGGACCATTACGAGGAATTAGGTTTTGAGGCGGAACCTTACGAAGAGGTTGTCACTGCGGGTTATCAGTTTTGATTACATTCCTGTTTATAAGTTTGTACTTTTGATCTGTATGGCTTTGAGCTCGCAAGCT